AGTCGACAATATCGTGAGCGTTTCACTTGCACTGGAGTTCATCATGATATCTATTTCAAAATTTCTCCCATGAGATTCTCGCTAAACTTTTAGACGGATTCTCGATACTTATACTATTTCACAGTTTTAAGAGTAATATGTCAACAAACATCACTTGAAGCATGGCAGTGAGTACAAAAATCAAACAGCTTTCTTTTTACGCGTTTCAAAACATATTTGACAAAGAAAAGGAAGACTTACGTATTTCTTCATCTTCATACAGCCAAAAGAACTTATTTCAAATAATAACAACATTATTCACCTTACTCCCTCTGTCATCTCAACCATGCGACTCTCTAAGCATCAGTCTACGATGAGTAAATGTCATGTTTGCCAAAAGGTTGCTGGCACTCTGATATGTGCTGGATGTGAACAATACTTTTGCAAGAGAGATATGGAGCAACATCGACAACAACTCTCTCGTGAGTTGGACATTCTCATGCAAGAGCACGATCTTCTCAAACAAAATATTGAAGAGGTGGCCAAATGTGATATTGGCAACAGCGAAATATTTGCTCAGATTGACAAGTGGGAGAACAATGCGATGGTGCAAATCAAAGCAGCAGCTGAACAAGCTCGATGCGAAGTTCGTCGTCTTGTGCAAGAGCCAGTCGATCGACTGAGTCAAATCACCAACGATATTCGACCGAAAATGCAAGAAGAAGACTATGTGGAACCAGATCTCGAACAATGGAGAAATGATATTCGGACGTTACAGAGAAAGGTGTCAGTTATGATGAAAACTATCGTCGTTGACACTCGAGACATTGACTGCACGACACTGATTAAAGTGAAAACAGCCAGTATGACATCGAAGAGAGATGAAGAGAAAAACGTGGCACTAGATTTCGCTAAACTAAGCGGTCCACCGACGAAAGCGGTAAAGATAGGTGCAGATGATTATCTTGTAGGAGCCTCAGGTAATCATGTGTTGATTTGGGAGAAAGGTATTGATTTCTATTTGATGAGTCGAATAAGTGAAGACAGAATCCATATTCGATGGAGCACACTGGAGCGGCTGCGAGATGTTTGTTGGTCTGTGTATCTAAATCGATTCATCATTCTGGGTGCGAAGACTCTTTCTACACTTGATGTTGAAACAACAACGGTGAACTCAATTAAACAAGTCAGTGACAAAGATGTGAAAGAGTTTTGGAGCTGCACGTGCTCAGGTGAAACATTGTATGTGACTAAGAAGGAAAGTGGATCACGAATAGTTGAGTACAACATGTCGACGTGGAAAATGATCAAGTGTTGGGCACCGCCTTTGTCGTGCAGGCAAGGTGAAGGGATAGTTAGGATGAGGTTTAATGAAGATGGAAGCCGAGTTGGAGTGACGCTGGGTGTCACAGACAAATATCATTCATTTGAATTACGAGATCGATCGATGACTGTACTTCAACTACTACGATTTCCTTATTCCGATAGTGGATATGGGCTAATTTCATTTCCGAGTGGTCAGTGGTTGACTATTGTGCTCAACAGTCAGCAACTTCATGTCATCGATAACAAGGGTGTCATAAAACGAATAATTGCGACTAAGAAGGTGTCTGGATCAGCATTACTAAGCCGCAGATGTATTGTTCTTCAGACAGTCGATAATGATCTTTGTTATTATGATCTTTGAGCATATTATATACCTCATGCATATACTAAAAGCTGAAGTAACTATGAGTTAATTTATGCATCTCTACACCCTTCTATTGAATATTTCGATATCGTGTTCACCTTATAAAAATCAGAACAACTAGATAACGTTTGACGCTGATCATGAATCGGTTACTTCACAAATGCGATCAAAATGTAAGCGGATTAGTATAACTAATTAGTATAACACTGTAAGGGCCATCGAAATCAGATGTAAGACAAAAAGTTTTTCCTAAGGATGGCAGCCTTAAGCGGTATGAGGGAAAGCGCACTTTTTTTTTACATAACTAAAGCATTTGATATCAAGATTGTTGCTGGATTACACAGCAGTTAATGTCGTGAACCTTGTGTTAGTCCCAGTTGAGTACACAAGGTGTTTTAATTTTTCTCTATTTATGTGACTGTGGTCTACTCAACACATGTCTTCTGCCGAGTCTGCTCAAAATAGTTCAATGAATCATATTTTATAATTTCAAATATTGGGTAAAGAGGAGGAAAAAGAATGAACAGTGGAGCTTTCTACCAACAC